GGAGCTGATATTTGTTACTCCGTGTCCTCAACTTCAGTGTATTGTTACCCATCTACCTGCTTTCACTGCAGAACTGACTATGGTTGCTGGATGTAGAGTTGTTTAAGGTAAAAGTAACTTTGCAAACAGGAGTTAAATAGCTTATATTTCCAAACAAATGGAGACCACTACCCTCCAGTTTTCCATCCTACTGTCTATCCATTGCACCAATTGTACTAGAAAAGCAGGCACAGAATTCATAACTGAACAATGGTGGAATAAGCCCAAAATTTAGGCTTTGGTTAATAAACATTTCTATTAACCCTACCCATTCAAAAACATCAATTTCAATGTGAAAATAGTTTTACTGGGATATAAACAGTTCCTGAGCAGAGTGAGAATCCAAGTACAACAGTAATGTGCCTTGTGGAACGTAAACCACCAGTACAAATGTTGAGTAAGGATAGGTAAATCACTTGGCTTACATTTGAACCCATTCAGTCATCTTGACTCAAATGTTATTGAGTGTGTGTTCCACTTACTGGAGACTTGAAAAAGGAGCAAGTGGAGAATTTTAAACAAAAATCAATCAATATACTGCATAGATAGGGCCTTCTATTGATTGTCTGATCTTTTTGGGGTGGAGGTCTATCCCTAATACAAGCCCCAACTGAGCAAAACACTTAAATGTGAGTAATCTCATCCTTATTTAGCTATGCACATTACTCTGGTAAGTAATTTATTCATAAATTACTTCCCATTGAAATAAGATTATTGTGTTTAAATGCTGTGCTGAAAAGGGATGAGAATTTAACACAAGGGGGGAAAAAAGCTTTAGTTTTTTAAACATGGTGATTCAATTAAAAAAAAAATAAATAGAACCAATCATAAAGATTTCAAAAATTCTGAATGTCAACCAAAATTTTGACTGGCTTTGTTAAAAACAAAGTTTTAAATTCAGAGGAGGAAAAAAAAATTCAAGAGATTTGCAAAACCAAAACATTTGCCTGTGTTCACTCTCCCTTAATAAAAAGTAAATCAGAATTTTGACACCTGATTTCAAACATATTTGTTGGCCAAAAAATAGGTCTTGTTTACATGAAAGAAAACGGGTGGTTTCTTGTGTTACAAAAATCTGATATTACTAAACTTCCTCTGACAGCAGATGTTTCAACATCGGAACGGCTGTAGATATGTTGAATTACCTCTGATAGCTGTTACTGATCTACTTTGGAAAATCAAGTCATTTTTGCAGCTGTGAAAGCTTTGGAACACTTTCTTGGTGTCCAGTGAGCAACAATTTTATGGAAGGAGGTAAGAGGTAGTTATTTCATTTATCTTAATTACCAGTACAAATGTGTGTTCTCTTTTTTTTTTTAAAGAATAAATCAGTCATATTTATCGCCAAATCTGGTCAATTAAGTTTTTTTTTTTTTTAGGGCTTGTGCCTTTCAATCAATCAGTATTTTCAGATCTCTGAGCGTTTTCAGATCATCTCCTGAGATTTTAAAAATAATACTTTTTCCTGTTTTGTTGATGTGTGAAAGACCTACGCAAACAATAGAGGACTAATTGATTATACCGGGGAACATCAAGCGCTGTCAAATGCACAACATAAACTGAAAAGAAATTTTTTTCCTAACCTTTCATTTATATTCATAGCTGCTGCACAAAATAGATAATTTTCATGCAGAAGTGAGGTTTTTAAGTTGGCTGTTTCCCTCTGATATTGAAACAGGATTTACTTTAGTCAGTGTCTTTAAGAGTAGATAGACCTTTTGTTTACAAGCATGGAAAAATATGTTGAGTATGGCCTAGTAGAACATTTCAGAGTGCAATGCTGACCAGTGAGGGGCTGTGTTACCCCTGCTTTGCAACCTTGGGTGCCTCACAATACTTTGCTGTTGTAACTCCAACTGAGGTTCCTCAGAAGCAGCCTGTCAACGTGCAGGTTACTCCCTGAGTGTCTGTGTAAAGCTACCGTGCGGGTCCAGCAGTTCTGACCCCAGCAGCCTGACAGTAACACACCAGCCCCCACTTTGGCTTCCAGCAGCACTGGTTACTATTTGCAAGGTGACAACACGCTCCAGGCTTGAATTTTCCCCCACAATGGGTGTTCTGCACTATCCAGCCCTCTCCTGGACAGTCCAGTCCATAGGTCTGTTGCCCCTCTAATGGGATCAATACACAACACCTTGCCACCTTAAATCGAGTTACCCAAACAATTCACAACACTGGATTATTTTGATTAAAGAACAAAACTAGTTTGAGTTACAGGTAATGAGGTATTAAAGTTCAGAAATGGGTATAAGAAAAATAAAGATAAAATGCTTTCTAACCTAAACAAACTAAAGTGAAGTCCATTACCCCAGGTTTCCAGTAAGACTGCTGACCAATCTCTCAGGCTAGGGCCTGCTTCCAAAGTGCAGTGGCTGTTTGTTTAATCTGGGGTGAAAAGAGAGAGAGGGGTAGGGAGAGAGAATGGGGGGAGGGAGGGTGTTTTTGCCCCTCATTTTCATAGTTTCGTCACCCTTTGAAAAGCATTTTCCTGAGGGTGACCCCTAGTTAAAGTTCTTTCCATCTGAGAGCAAGGAAACATGGAGGCTGCTGGAGGAAGGAGGCTTCGTGCTGTTTCTGTTTGGGCAGGTTATTTATCCTCTCCATGTTTGTTCACACACACTCTAAAATGTGGATAATACTTTCTTAGCTCACAGGTATGTCATGAGGCTTAATCCATTGCAGTTTAAGCATTTTGAGCTCCTTGGATGAAAGCCTCCAGAGAAGTACAAATTAGAGTGGACCCAGAGTTTGGGGCTGTTTAGACCCAGAGTTTTGGTTTCCAGTACAAACTATTAATACTAGTAATTAATAATGACCCAGAGACACCTGGCCTCCATGAATCAGACCAGGACTTTAGAACACAATCTAATGATCTTAGAAATCAGAGACCCAGAATCTATGGAGTTTTCTAAACAGTATATACATACTTTTTATCCTTAGTTACCAGTGGAAGAGAGAATGGGAAGTTCGAGCTCAAAAAACAATCACAAATCACATCCAGGTAACTATATCTTGCATGGGGGTGTGATGTTACACTCCATATCCTTTATGAAAATATGCTTATGATATGAGTTTGCGCTGTGCAGATTTTTCTATACAGTGCAAAACAATATATATTTCCCAAAAGGGGTGTGCACGTGAGTGCTGGGGGAGCCTTCTCACACAGCGCTGATTTCAGTCTGTGTTTGCAGCTGGTTGTGGCCCTACCTGTGTGTGTGCGTGCTGCAGGAGACCGGAGAGCCTAATTTAGCGACACAGGGAGAGGGAATCCAGGCTGGTGGAGCAGGAGAGGCTCAGTAAAACCACAGTACATCAGGTGACATCCCTGACGGGGGGTCCAACCCAACACAGGGAGGAAATGAACCAAATTCTGTTCTCAGTTACACTGGTGTAATCCCAAGACTTCAACAGAGCTACATTAGTGTAGTTGGTAATAATATTTGGTCATCATTGGGCAGCAGGGAAAGTGTGGCTGTGTACATCTCGCAGCATGATTTACCATAGTCTAGCTTTCATTCCAATTAGTAAACATAAAAAGAAGATTTTAAAGAACGTTCTCACACTAATGTACATTAATAGCTCCCTTGTGGGTCATGGGCCTCTGGGCAGAACAGATCCAATACTGGAAACACTGCTGCAGAATGAAACTTATCTTAAGAAACAGATAACATGTTTTAATGCTCTTTGTATTCACTTCTAGCACCATCACCTGCAGCCAGCACCACCACTGCCAGCACCAGTTCCAGCACAACTACTGTAGTCATGATTACAAGAGACAAGACCATATTTGATAAGTAAACAAGAACTATTTTTGCGGGTTAATTGTCATGGTGGCGTGAGATCATTCACAGACTCCAAGGAGAGTTGTTACGGGCAGTGACTTTAATGTTTCTGATTGTAAAGGGTTGCTCAGAATCTATATATTTATATTGCTGATACTCAAACAATATGTATTCTTCGTCAGCCCTTAATGCAATTCTAATGGAAACCACATAACCAGTAAGTCCTAAAGAGCTTGGAAGTAAGTACTGCATCAGATTCCAAAAGAGATGTTTTTAAATGAAAATGATAACTCTCTGATACATTCACCACCACATTTTGATTTAAATGAGATAATAGAAGAACAATGTAAGTTGACAGGCTGATGTGATATGCCCAGTGGTGATGCTGCGATAAACTGTTTAGCTTTTCCAAATTTCACGGAAATGAAAATGTCAGGCCAAATTCTACTCGTATTTACGCTGTTGTAAATCAGGAGTGACTCCATTGACTATAGCAGCGTAACTCCTGATTTAAACTGGAGCATATGAGAGTGGAATCTTGTCATCCATAAATGTACAGTGAGCAGAAATATACCTCATGACTCCTTCAAAGATATAAACTGTTAGTAAAAGCACCCATTACTGTCTCCCCATTCCCCCCCCCCGCCCGCCGCCGCCGCCACCCCCAGAGATTTTCTCCAGCCACAAGAGATGCAGGTTGCAAACTGAAAGACATTTCTTAGTGTGTGAATTGGATAATCTGCCTCCAGCAGATTAATGCCTTCAGTGAATATCCCTGTGGTCGGGTGGTTGTATATATTTGAGTTTAAATCTGAAGTGAAAGGATATTTTTGTATGTGTATGTTTGCTTCACATACTTACCTTTTTCATCAGATTTATGTTCATTTTCTGAATGTAGCATTTTTATGTCTTTGAAACTCAGGCTCCGTAATGGGTGTGAAAAGCCAAAACATTTTAAAACATACACTGAGGTCCTCATCCTGCTCCACTTCAAGACATCAACTTCAATGGGAGATAGGTTTTATGGTCTCTAGTACAATGCTTTCCAATTACCAGGCCAGGCTCAGTCCTGGTGTAAGTAGGTGTAATTTCATGAAGTTATATCAGGGCTGAATCTGGTCTGTTTAGATCAAGTTTCTTCCCATTACTTAGAATTAAATAAATTGCTGATCTTGTTACCCATATTTATTCCTATGAATGTGAGGGTCCATATTGCAGCTTGCATAACCTGTGGTAATGCTTTTAATGCCAATAACAATATCTGAATGACACACTTATTAGTTGCAAACATCTCATATGATCACACAGGTTTTTCTTAGGTTCTTTCTTCTTCCCTCTCATTTGGAATTTTGGCCCGCTAAATAGCAGCTCTCTGTAGACATGTGATTTTGTTATCCAATAACATCGATCTCTGTTGATTTGAATTCAGTGCACCGGGCGTGGTTCCGGAGGTTTTGGTAACATTCGTGTTTGAACTCAGCATAAGGCCCTGAGGTGCTGAGATAGTATTGGCCAGGGTGGTAGCCAGGACAGAGAGTAGGAAAGGGGGGAGCTGTTTGTTTCTAACCCACTGTATTCTGTGCACTAACAGACCTGAGTTCCTCTACATATTGGTGGCCTGTATCTCTGCCGTCCTATTGACCATGCTGGTATTTACAACCATCTACTTTATCAGGAAAAGGAAAGGTAAGGGATGTGCAATGAGGAATGATGCTTGCAGGATATTGGACTGCCATAGCTTGTGGCAGAGGACAGCTGGTTTCCAAGGGCCAAGTCCTCGAAGGTATTTAGGCACCTAACTCACATTGAGATCAATTGGATTTAGATGCCTAAATGCCTTTTAGGATCTAGGACTGAGTATCTCAGGTGTTCCACATTCAAATGCTGTTGCTGGGGGTGCAGGTTTTTCATGGAGGAAGTGACAGTGTTCACTTAGAATCTCCTTGCCATGTTTGTTCAGGGTAGGCCCTTTATCTTTTTAAGCATAACTTTGGGAATGTTATAATGCCACCTCGTTCAGAAATATGCTTAGATGATATCTGCTCGAATGCAGCATTAACAGCAATGACTTCTCTTTTTTACTGTTTTTGTATTTAGGAAGTATTAATAGGTTTACAAACGCTTGCCATGTGAAACAAAAATATCATTACCACAATGAACGTTTGTTTACAGAAACATTAAGCAGGAATATAATAATCCGATCTCTCTAACAGGGTGTTATCATATTACAGAGTGAGCATCATTACAATACCTATGACCTGTCGTTTCTAGTGATTTGATTACATTGAGTGAAAACTCGGATTACACATATTTAACTGTCCACACATGTCTATTTAATGTTAATACTCAAAAAAAAAAAACCAGACAGGTGTGCTGGGTCTTTTTGCATGTGAATGTACTTTGAATATTGAATACATGGTAGCCAAAAGTATCTGTTTGTAGCAATGACTTTTCATCTACCTCCTGACTCTGGGCACCACGTCAGCTATAATGGTGGTAATTTTGCCATCATGCAATGAAGCATAAAGCCCACGGTAGCCAAGAATAGTGACTATTAAAAACCCTGAGCCAAATTTTTCAAAGCACCCAGCATCCACACCTTTCAAAGGTCTTCCTGTGGGAATCCACACAGATAAGATCCAAGTTACTAGATTCCTTAGGGTCTGTCTTCGCTGCAAAGTTAGTTCGGCCTTTTATTCAGGTGTTGCTTCTGCTCCAACTCCCTCCTGTCCCCACACAAACCCCATCACCCATATTTAGTGATGCTTTAAACCCAAGCTAACTGGCCCTTTTCGGAGATGTGGTTTCGAGCCAGGCATTTCTCTTTTCATTCAGGCTGGTAACCCACATACTTTGCAATGAGGATGCAGGCTAAGCCACTCAAGTAAAGTGCTGATAGTCTTTCAGTGCCTTCCCGCAATTCCTGCTGTGTGATCAGAAGGGTGGACAAATTTTCCCACAGTTCCCTGGGAAAGTATCATAGAGAGGCTCAGTTTACAGCAAACACCAAGAACCCAAGAGTCCTGGCCCCAGTGGGCAGGGCCGGCTCCAGGCACCAGCTTACCAAGCGGGTGCTTGGGGCGGCCACTTCGGAGAGGGGCGGCACGTCCAGCTGTTCAGCAGCAATTCAGCGGACGGTCCCTCACTCCGGCTCGGAGCGAAGGACCTCCCGCCGCATTGCCGCCGCAGATCACAATCGCGGCTTTTTTTTGTTTGTGTGGCTGCTTGGGGCGGCCAAAATCCTGGAGCCGGCCCTGCTAGTGAGGGTCCAATGACTTGAGTTTGGTTTTGCAGTGTGGCAGCTAACACCCAAGCTAGGCTAAGCAGTGGCCTGATTCCATGGGCTAACTCTGCAATGAAGAGAGACCCTTCGATTGTAAGCTCTTTGGGGCACAAACCCTCTGTTTGTTGTGTGTTTCTGCAGCACCCAGAGCAATGGAGTCCTGGTCAATGACTGGCACTGCTAGGCACCATCATAATACAGACAATCTAGTAAAACAATCCAGGGGATGCAGGTCAGACCGTACTGTACTCCTTCTCCCCACACTGCCTTGTGCTGCACACTTTGGGGTTATGCCCTTCCTTCTCCAACCTGCCTGATTAAAAGTTTATTTCTATTTGCAGAACAGTTTGCCCCCCAATTTTTCCTGTGCCCTCTGCCCTTCCCCTCACTTCGTGAACTGGATCAATTCATCCAGGCCTTAGAATGACTCTGAACGCATACCCAGAGGGCGGGGATTTCTTCTGTGGCCTGGCCGTCATTGGTACCTATCCCTTTGTCTCCATTACAGTTCACAATACACCCCGAAAGACTTCTCAAGAGCAGGATCCTTCAGATACTGTGCATCAGGCACCTGCTGAAAACACCCAGGTAAAGGTCGGAACTGTTTCCTTGGTGTGTCTCATGACACGTCTTCAGATTCTCTGTAGAAAATGCTATATTATGATGAACGTGAATTTGGGACTGAAAACAGGAAGTTTGTTCATATCAATGTAACAGTTATTCAGAGGTTCCTTTTACCTTAACTTATAGCTAGTGCTTTCCCTGGGAAAGCAATAAGCACTCCTACCTATGCCACCCAAGTGCTCAGTTTTTCATGTCTGCAGCCTCCTCATCCCCATCAGCGTGTGTGGTGCCAGAGACTGGAAGAGGTGTTTGTAGAGGGATGCTAGATATTTCCTGCCCTGGTTCAAATGCTGCATTCTCCAAATACCTCAGGGACTCAGTCTGTCCCCTCTGCAGTTCCTTAGAGATGGGATATCACCTCTGACATTATGTGACTCCCCAGCTATGTCGATAGGATAAACATATATAAGCCCTCATGCTTCAGGGCATAAACCAATCACTAATTGAGATGATTAGGAAGAAGCTTTTCCTTATGGGCAAGTTATTCCATAATTGTCCATTATGGTATTGATTCCTCTGAAGTCTCTAATATCGACCATGGTCACAGGGTACTAGACTAGTGGACCATTGGTCTGGCAAGTTCTGTGTTCCCCATGCACAAGGAGCAGACTACTCACACTAGATTACATTTGAGAGCATCCTAGAAAGCAAAACGAAGGGTAGGAAATCCAGTCAGAATTCCAGCAGCTCCTCACTTCCAAATAATGTTTGCAGGTTCCTACGTGTCCTAACGATGAGATCACCTACGCCAGTTTGACTTTCAAACAGACGCCTCTGTCAAAGACTGCTCTGTAGTTTGTGCTAATCACAGTGAAATGAAGACATCTTTGCTGCCTGCAGTTCAAATGCAGATGGAAGTTCTGTCACAAGCCCTCAGATCTGCTTGGAATCATGTTGCCAAATATTGCATGTATAATAACATCAGCAGATTTATTTAAGCTGCGTGGAGGTCTGTCCCACAAGGAAGTGTTGGTGAGTGGTCAGAGCAGGGCACCAGGAGTTCAGATTCCATTGTTCTCACCCTGACTCATGGTGTGAGCTTGAAGAAATCACTTGTTTTTTGTGCCTCAGTTTCCTTATTTATAAAACATGGATAACCCTGCTTATGATGCCTTTGTCTCTTTTCATTCCTCCTGCTATATTTTTGTGATCCTTCAAACAGCTTCTGAAACTACTTTGCATGTGTTAATAAGTGACAAGATAAGGGCAGGAAATACTTCTCTCTTACTGGCCGGGAAGGGTTCATGGGATTGGTCCTGCTTTAAGCAGGGGGTTGGACTAGATGACCTCCCGAGGTCCCTTCCAACCCTGATATTCTATGATTCTATGATCATCTGTGCAGGTCTGTCCTGTCAGATGGTCTCGTCCCTCTCTGACTTGTTTGTACACCCCCTTCTTAAATTAGTATTTACTCAAATAGTCCATTTTATTGCACCTCCTTTTTAAATTGTCATTTGCTTTGGTTAACTGTGTTTGTTAATCACATAAAAATAATTCTCCCTAGTAGATGGCATAGGCAAAACTCTGCTTCCTGATTGGATCTTGAGATGAGTACTTGAGGTTGTTTTTCTGGACATCATGTCCTCTGTAGAATTTTAGGTTTCAAGAAATGCTGTGATGCTTATGAAATCGATGTCCACCATGGAGATGTTTAAAAAAACAGGTAACAATAAATAAATAGTGAGGACCCATCACATGCTGCGGGGACATCGAAGATTATAATGGCACTTTCATCCATAGCTTTACAAGCATTTTACAAAGGCGGGTAAGAAGCGTTACCCCCGTTTTACAGCTGTGGGAACTGCAGCAAAGTTACAATGAAGCACCCTGCCCACCACCAGATCCTTCAAGGAGGAGAGGAGCTGGAGGGAAGCTCTGCTTATCCAAGCCGGCAGAGGAGGGATGGGGGTTTGCCTCTGTTTTAGCTGAGCAAAGGGGCTGTGTTCCATTCCCCCACCACCCACACTCATGTGTAGGGAACTGATGCACAGGAGAGATGAAGGCCCAGATCTTGAAAGGTATTTAGGCTCCCAAATCAGTGGGATCCAGGCACTTACAAATTATATATAATAATATATGGAGATATACCTATCTCATAGAGCTGGAAGGGACCTTGAAAGGTCATTAAGTCCAGCCCCCTGCCTTCACTAGCAGGACCAAGTACTGATTTTGCCCCAGATCCCTAAGTGGCCCCCTCAAGGATTGAACTCACAAGCCTGGGTTTAGTAGGCTAGTGCTCAAACCACTGAGCTATCCCTGTGGATCTGGGTTGAACTGACTTGCCAAAGGTCACATGACACGCCAGCAATAGAGCTGGGAATGGAATCTATACCTCCAACATTCTCATGCCCTGTTACTTGAGTATTGAACCCTTCTTCACTTTGGTCAATACATAAGATCAGATTTTCAAAGGTATTTAGGAGCCTAAAGATGCAGATGGGCACTTACTTGGATTTCAAATGCCTTGGGCCAGATTTTTAACTCCAATGAGAGTTGGGCACTGCCTTCTAAAAATCCCACGGGTGTCTATCTGCATTTTTAGCATATAAATATCTTTGTAAATCTGATCCTATTTCTCTTGGGTTGATTAAGCTTGCTGCACACCTCAGCAGAAGTCAGTATTCACAATATCTGACAAAGAGAAGCTGAGTTTCGTAAATAGAAAAGAGGAGGAAATGTCTAGAAATGCAAACACATTACTCTGCGTTTAAAGAAGTGAGATTAAATGGCCACATGATGACTGTAAAAGATAAGGGATGAGCAACTGTGCTTTATAATGACTGACACTGAGATCTGTTCTTCTCCACTCATGTTTAAAAACCACCATTTCTTTAAGCACTAGTGTAGCATGATATCAATGACAAAGGGATGCAGCCTTGGGGGAACCATTATTATATTGAAAGCTTGGGACGTTTAGGGAGAGCAATGAATGATTTGACTTTGAATTGTTTTTTATGTTTTTAGTGTGGCTGGGGTCATTCCAGTCTTTTTATTTGAAATATTTTGAAAAGAGTTGCATCATGTTTTTAATTTGTTAAAGCAACCTAGAGCACAGGATAAATGCTTCTGTAAACGTACAATACTTGAATTAATTCAATAAAGGGTTAGACGCAAATTTCCTCTTGTCCCTCACTGCATACACATTTGTAACCTAGCTATAGCAATGCTATAAGACCTCAATACAGCAATTGAATCTCCAGGGGCAGATCTTAATTCCTGCACAAATCCAATTACAGAATCAGGGCCTTAGTTTGTGCCCATCTCTCCAGTTTGTGCTGCTAGGAAGTGGAAAAAGGTGAATTTTACTCATACTAAAAAATAGAGCAGGCATAAAAATATTCACTGTTGCAAACGAACATACTACACATGTGAACACTTCTAAGTTTACAATACGTTTGCATGAAAAATGCCACGTACATTTTGGAGGCCTGGTTTTAGTGCTCTTCTTCTTCTCCTTTCATTGATCGGTAATGAATCATTAATAAAGCAGGATACAAAAACAAGCCTTTCAATGTATGTGTGTGTTCATTATATGCATTTCCCAGTTCAAAGACTGGGTCCTAAAATCAAACCCTATGTTTAGAGTTTGGGGCCCTGGAAAGGGTTGAAATACTTTAGCTTGCTCTGGGACTGCTTTCAGTGAGGTCCTTAATACTTACTTGTTATCACAAATCGGTCATTGGGGTAGCGTCATAGCATTAAATAATAATAGTCATTATCACCATTTTACAGAGGGGAAAACTGAGGCAGAGGGAGGTTAAGTCCAGTATTTGTAGAAGTGCACATCCATTTTGTGTGCCTGAGTTTCTGGGTACTTTGGTCACTGCTAGACTGCTCAGAGGGTTGTGTCTACCGGCTGAGTACATTGCACACCCCAGAGGCTCCCTGCACTCATCCGTTCTCCCCCTACCCCTGAGTTCCCTATGTGCATCCCTCCCTTGTCCCTCTGTTTCAAGGATTCCCTGCACCCACCCCCTTAACCTCTTTCATGCAGGGGCTCTGTGTTAACCAGTTGTTAATGGCTGCCATCAACTGGGTCTTTGATTCTAGGCAATCTAAGAGATGGTTGCAGCTGCTGGGTCTGTTAACTAGATGCCAAGGGCTTTGTGTGTGCACCATTTTCCTATTTGCACCCAAATCCATAGGGTTCTACCCATTGTTCCGACATCATTTTGGAACTGATTGGATGCAGGGTTCAAAAGTTACCATGTTACAGACAGACAGAAATGCCATCAAGTTGAGTGCAGGACCTGGCTTGGCTCAGCCAATCATGAGTCTTCATCACTGAGCTGTCACTGAGTACAGCTTATGTCGGCTTACGTCGGCTTAATTAGCACACCGGCCGCACACTGGGTCTCCGCACAGCTGGCACAGGAGTAAAAATCTGAGGTACTTCCAAGGGTGTCTACCACAGGGCAGAGAGAATGCTGTGTTCTGTCTCGTGCAGGAGAGTGCTTCGGACAATGCCCCTAGCTGGGAAGCAGACAGGCCTTTTTAATGGTGTGAGGCAGGCAATGGACTCTTGGCAGGGAGAAGGTTAATAGAGACTCTCCCTGAGCCCTGAAAACCACACAGGTGCCTATCCTAACTGTAGTGACCCTGACTAAGAGGACAGGGGAAGTGGACTCAGCTGGGGCGAGTTACTAAATTCCCCTATAAGAGATGTGTGCTGAGGGTAGGGGGAAAAGGGTAGCCTGACAGGGCTGGGAAGAATAGAATTGCTTCACTTCTTCTCTGGGCACTATGGGGTCTCCAATGCTGTCCATTGGGGTTCTGTTTAGGAAGGCCGGGCAGAATGATTCTCTCCAAA